AATTCAAAACGGCGCTTGAACGAAGGGTTCGTCCTAAATCAACGGGTCTAACCGACCCCCACTCGGCGCACTCTCAAACGGCCCCAGAAAGGTGTTGGGGGCGGGGTGGTTGAACGGTCATGCCCCCGTCGACGCATAATCGGAATAAAATTAAATCTGTCTTAACCTATGCCTATAGGCTGAGGCATTTCGGCGTTTCCGAACTTTACTTTTAAATAAGAACAAAAAAGACGTGAAATCCTTGCCTCTAGCAAAATTCGGGCAATTAAAAAAGCGGGGCGTTCTTTTGAAGCATCCTGAGGTTTGGAGTTGGTTAAGTACTTTTGTAAATCGTTCAAAAGCATAAACTGCAGAGTAAACGATTAAAAGTTATTAAGAGCATTAACTTTGCAGGCCTTTTTATTTCGTATGTGAAATGGTCAAAAAATTCAAAAGACAAATTGGTGAGCATACGTTTGCTGTCAATTACTTCTCTTCAGAACTGTACATTTGTATCGTTATTAACTGAGTAAAATATGTGGGTTGGTAAAAAAAAATCGTGCGGTTTTCAGGGACAGGAAGACAAATATGGATCAGCAATCTGATCAGCGTCAGGGAAACTGGCCTCCTGGAAAGATTATAAACTGTGGGCGGTTGAATTGACAACTTTCGGCCATAGTAATTGCCACGTTATTGCAAAGTTATTTTGGGTACACAGAACCGGTTTACGTAATCCGATTGCAACCAATTCTGTCTTAGCCAACAGACAGTGTCCAATCAATTTTAAATAGCTTGAGGGCACCTTGTGGATCACTCGGAAAGTCTCTTTGGCCTATACGCGATGGTCTGAGTCTACCGGTGCGCTAGAATGGAACTGTTTATACCATTTATTTGGCCCTTCTTGGCTCAATCTTAAACCTAGCCTTAAACTTAACCCAAACGCTCACCTTAGCCCTAATCTTAATTTCCGCGGAGTTAGGCAAAAGCCGCACGCATTGTTGGTGGCGGTTTCTGTTCTCGCATGTTGTTAAAGTGGCCATCCTTACCGATATTGCTCTCTTTCACTTCCCTTGTGAATGTCAGCTTCCAGCGTCTCTTAATTGTCTACATACTTAGGGGCTTACTTTTCAATTCGTGAAAATTCCCATCGGAAAATTCAGAAGATAAATTGGCGAACATACCTTTGTTTTCGAGAAATTTTCGTCACCCCTGTACATTTATATCGTAATTAACTAAATAAACTATGCGGGTTGGTAGAAAAAATAGTCTGGTCGTCAGGAGAGTTGGGGGTGGGGGGGGGGTTCATCGACGTCTAAAATCTGATCAGCGTTAGGAATGACTGGTACCCGAGAAAGGTGATTAGCTGCGGGCTTTTGGATTAGCGACTTTCGGCCATTATAACGGCGGCCCCGTTACGAAGTTCTTTACGGCGTGGCCTGATGGCGGCCTCTTCTTT